AAAATTGCACAATTTAAAGTTTGAGGATCAAATTGCAAATTCAATAGTTGATTTGGACCACAAGATGATACTTTGAAGATGTTTAGGAGACAATTGGGTGGAATTAGAACTCAAAAAGGAATGGAATTTATCACAATCAATATCCAATCGCACAAGTTATATTCCAGATTTTTAGTCGAAAATTGAGACCCATTTTTTGTATAGTAAACGTCTGAATTGAGAAAATTTTATTTCTATAAAAGTTGTAGCCTTTTAAGTTATCTTTCCAACGTACTTTGAATCACTTCAATCGGATATCAGACGAGAAAGTTATGGTCAAAATACTGACTGCTGTGCAGAGACAAAATCTGCGCACGAATGCAACTTTCCTTATCTGATTAGAACTCTTTTGGAAGTCAATTTGGACGTGATTTTCCACCAATTTTCGACTGCTACAGATACATAACAACAGAATACATATGGAGGAACTCTCATGTACATATTATATTCCATTATTTATCAATTATTATCATCAAATGAGGAGAATTCATAGTTTTTATGAGAGAATTGAATGAGTTTTGCAAGAATTCATTCAAGTGAAGATTCAAACATAATTTTTGGGCAAAGAAGAGAAGGTGCAAGTGGAGATTCATCAAGAAACCATCGAAGAGATTCAAGATTTCAAGATTCATCTTCATCTTCATCTTCTCAATTTATCAAAAACTCGGGTTATATCTTTTCACTTATATATGATTTCTTGTAATTTCAATATGTTAGGTTAGATTTTTACATTGCTAAAGATATAGATGAACCCTTGTTTTGAAACTTTTAGTATTAATTAATTATTGACGTTAATTTGTTAGAATGCGTGGATATTTATTATGATTTAGATTGCTTTTCAATTAATTGGCCACTAGTTGAATTGTTTGTGGATTTTATTATCATCGAGAGAGGTAATAGAATCGTTAGCACATAGTAATAGATATTGTGAGGTTCAATAGATGATAGAAATATACCTCTATGCCTTGCATGGTTCATAATGATGTTCTAGTTCGTTAATGCATTTATCATGTTCGTATTTTTCATCAAGAGATAGGAAGGTCGCAGGAGGGGAATAGATTTAATTGCTATCGAGAGAGGCTTTTAAATAAATTTGGAACGTCAACCAACTCGCATGATAACAAATTGTCAATTTAATTGTTAAACTAAAAGTGGATGAACAAGGGGGATTCTAGATCTTGACAATACATCTTATAAATTTGATAAACTCTTACTTTAATTTCTTGTACGTGATAAATTAGATATAGATTTATTATAAACTGTTATTGCTATTCGATTAAGGGTATTATTAACTTTAACTCGATCAAACACGTAATCCTCGTGGGTTCGACACTTTACACACTACTATATTATTTGATCACGACCCCATTCACTTGCGGGAAATCAAACGATCAATAGATGTTTACAGTAACTATGTGATTCCAGAAGGTATCGAATTTCAAAGTCTAATGTTTTATTCATATTTTTGGACGTACTTTTGTTGTCAAGTATCTATATAAATTAATTGGCATGAGCATAAGGCTTCATCGTATTTTCTGTTTCTTATTCTTTTTTCTGTTCTTTGAACATTTAAGTGCATCTCAGGTTAGACAACCGGTTGAGCAGCTAACTGGGTTTTATACACCTTCCACATCGGTTATCCTTGTGTGACATTAGTAACCTGAATATCAAATGACCAGTTGAAGACAATGCCTGAATGAAGACCTAAAATCGAGGAAGGTCACTGCAATAAGCAATTAATTGCAGATGAATGGATTAAAAAATGTCATAAAAAATTAAAAATGAACCTTGTTACACTTGCACACTTTGGTACACAATCTCCTACACAACCCTCTCACATGTGTGTGGGGATAGTGGCCACTGACAGTGAATTCTTCCTGACTCCTTTCCCAGTTAATTTTTTCTTTTTTCCAAAATGCTACTTATACACACTTGGTACACAATCTCCTACACAACTCTCTCACATATGTGTGGGATCACTGTCAGTGGCCACTATTAGATTGAACATAATCAGAGGAATGGAGATGATGGTCATGGTGTTTTTAGTAACAGATATGCTTAAATATATTCTATAGAAACATAGGATATTTCATAAGAGTTGGGTTTTGTGGCTGTAAAATTTTTTACATCTCTGGATAAGACTTCTTTTAATGTCGTAATCAGCCTAGTGATAATTAGGTTGTGAATATGATATAAACTTAACTCAACTACCTGCAGTGCATCGCACTCCAATATTTATTTACATTTATCATTATTTGCAATCACTTGATAAATATCAAATCTTTTAGTCATAGAAGAGGACCACCTACTCCAAATTTATACGTATAATAGTTGATCTATCATGCTCATTCTCATTTATAGATTTTTTGGCTCAATTAATATATAGGTAAAAATTTTGAACAGTGCTTTGGCTATTGTATATCTACGGAAAAATCCAAATGGGAATTTTCTATCGGGTGATGCTACATGTACAAATTTTTTTTACATAATTCCTTACCTACTACTCACAATAAAGGGTGGGGGCCACATCTTGGAATTTTTTTATTCACGCGGAGCCCACGTGCATGTGAGATGGAGTAAACAATTCGGTAGGGGGATTATGCACAAATAGAATTATCCTTTTCTACAAGGACGAATTTAGCTTTTACAAGGAGTAAAAGAGTTGGTAGCATACAGAAATTGGATTTCTCATCAATATGTAAAAGAGCCCTGCTACATTACCAGGCTGGTGGCTTACAGGGTTGTTCTAGGCTACTCACATTCAGGGGGGTGAGTATTTTTTTGGGCATTTTTTATTGCACGTGGGGCCCGCCCCATTGAGAGAGAGCCTGTAAAACACCTGTGATGCAAAGCCTGGCAGAGTAGAGTTATTCATTAAGATAAAGTTTCACAATTAATGTAAAATCATTTTTCATATCTAAAATTTATCGATCATATATTTATCATGGCCGCACTTCAACATTTTCAACAAATTTTAAATCGCTTAAAATGAATATTTGTAACTTAAAATACTGAATCAAATATTTTTTTTTTTAAAAAAAAGATGGCTCGGCTAACACGGCTCAACCAACTCGACTAGGCTTCGGTGGCCAAATGACATGTGAATAGTGAAAAGAAAACTCACTATTTTTGATTTTATTTTTTGTTTGTTTTCCAGGAGCCCTCCTACATTATGAGGCTGGTGTCTGACAGAGTTGTTCCAAGCTACTCACATTCAGGGGGGTGAGTATTTTTTTGGGCATTTTTTATTGCACGTGGGGCCCACCCCATTGAGAGAGAGCCTGTAAAACATTTGTGATGCAATGCCTGGCAGAGTAGAGTTATTCTATGTGAAATTTGTGATTTAAAGATTGGTGGCGGTTCTGAAACTACAAATGTGCAATGAACACTGATCAGTCTAATCTTTTACTGTCTCTTGGATTCTTGCATAGTGATGTTACAATCAGGGTCATCTGTTTCGTTGCGGTTCAGAAAATACAAATGTGCAATGAACACTGATCAGTCTAATCTTTTACTGTCTCTTGGATTCTTGCATAGTGATGTTACAATCAGGGTCATCTGTTTCGTTGCGAGTTCTGATGTAGGTTTAAAATGTATTAGTAGATACAAGTATGGTGGCTTCTATATCAGATATATGTTCATTTCAGATTGCAACATTTTCTCATGAGATTTGAAAGGCGTCTCTAACAAGTCCTCTCTAACATTCTTGGTCCGTCCATTGATTGAAATTACAAGCATATTATCTTGGATACACAACTGATGTAACTTTAAATTTATCTACTGACTTGCAAAAGGGAAAATATATAAGTTCCAAGTGTGAAACTACATTACTAAGGGTACATTTATTTATGTTTATTTAGAGTAATAAATTGGAGTTTGTTTTTTAGTTTGTTCGAAAAACACAGACAATATGTAGTTAGGAAGACCCTGTTAAGGGATATATATCCCACATCGATAAATGATGTTGACACAGACCAATTAATAAAGATTTTAGGCTACTTCTCTTCAAAAGATTGACCTTTTAAGATGAAATCCAAAATTTTAATATGGTATCAGAGCCTATTATGCTCCAACGAGCGATTTGATCCCTTTAAAACTCTAAAATAAGCATGTGAATTTCAAGATTGGTCTGCTCAAATGAGCCACCATCTTGCGGAGGCGTGTTAAGTGACATATATCCCACATCGATAAATGATTTTGACACGGACCAATTAATAAAGATCTACGGCTACTTCTTTTAAAAAGGTTGATATTTTAAGATGGAATCCAAAATCTTAACAGAGCCACGAGGATTTCCATTGTAAACATATATTAGTTCTTTAATGTATTAGATGCTAGAGAACTTTTGACTCGTACCTTTCTGATTTGGTAGTTGGTAGAACTCCTTGTATTTTGCCCACTCCAATGGAATGGATCCAATTGGTAC